TCAGTCTGTAATTGATGAAGGTATTGAACAGAACCAGAGCCAGAACTGATCCCTGTGGAATCCAACTCATTATGCCCTTCCAGCATGACACTGAGCCATTGATAACTACTCTCTGGGAATGGCTATGCAATTACCTGGCATCTGTGTTCCAAGAAAGGACAATAGCACCTAAATATGTTGTTTATGTGCAGTATTTGTTTTCCTTTGTCTTACAACCATAAGGAATATGTGAAGTGAAACTTAAATTATGTAAAAAAAGATCAACTGCCATGTTTCCCTTTTATTTGCTTAATTAATTATTGGGTTTTTAGGTTAGTTACTATGACTTTTGAAAAATAGTAATTTTTAACAGCATTCCTCAGGACCTTTTGATATTCAGAACTTGTAATAAAATAATTTACAGCTGAAGTAATTTAAATATTTTAGCCACAGGTTGGACTTCCATGGTCTGGCACCCTCGAAACCTGAGTGGTCCTGAAAGAGGGCGTTCACTAGACCAGCGGAGGTCAGACCTTGGGCTCTCCTGGGGCTCCCCTCCTGGCCACAGCCAACCCAGTGCACTGCCGCTGGTGGGGCTTCACTCCCTGTTACCACCTCGCTCCGGCCTGTGGGATTCCGCACGACTGGCTGAAGGGGCTTCCTTGCCCCAGCCGCCGGCAGCTCAGTGTCCCCAGCCTGTGGAGCTCAACTCTCAGCTAGCTAGGCTTCCTGCCCCCAGGCCACTGGCTCTTCAGGATGTCTAACTGAGCTCCCAGCCACTAGCTATCTCTGTGGCTGTGGCTCTCTGGTCCAGCGTAAATATAGCCAGACCAAAGAGTCCTGGACCACAGGATTACAAAACCTGTATTACAAAAGTGTAAAAGTATTAGGATAATTTAGAGTGTGTCCAAAGCATGGCCTGTTGGCCAAATCCAGAGCATGGAACCGAAAAATGTGACATTTTATTATAGAAGGTTTGAAGACTACATATCCCAACATGCACCTCACTTTTTTAAAAGGTGGCCTTCTCCAGGACTATTGGTGGTATAGTGGTGAAACTGTCTGGAGTCAGATGGAAGCATCTCTTAAAGAAGCATTTATTTGGCACATTTCATTCCATTTAGATCCTTATATTGCATCAACCATGGAATCTGGGCATACTGTAGGGTGCATTAAGTGATCTGACTCTGTTGCATGAGGTTGTTTCTCATTACCTCTCCTATCAGAAAAACTGCATTTGTGTGTTTTAGTTTTGTTTATATATGAGAAGTGCTTTTGAGTTCTGTTATAGAAGGTCAGCTCAGAGAAATATGGCGTGCACACTCTCAACAACAAAAAAATCTTGTAATGCTATTACAGCTAAAAATATTTAACAACTGATCTTTAATTCAAGGTACTTTTTCATTTAAACAGGATACAATTCTAGCAGAATTGCTTCAGATCCACAAAGAACATATAGTGGGCTATCATGAACATGATTCCCTCCTAGACCATAAAGAGGAGGAAGAATTGACTGAAGAGGAAAGGAAGGCAGCATGGGCAGAATATGAAGCTGAAAAAAAGGTAAAGATTTCTGGGCTAACTTAAAGTGGGTGTTAAATGTAGGAAACTAACCTTCACTTAAAAAAAAAAAAAAGATTTTTTTCTTGGTAGGCATAATAAATCTTGGCTGTATTATAAGCTTGACAATGGGCTTCTAAATAATGTTATAGAAATTGGAAAATTTAAATATCACTTCTACAAAAGCTACACAGACGATGAAAAGATAAATGCTGTTTTGATGGTGGACTTTTGTGTGTATTTGCTTCAAGATGATTTCATTTAGTGTTTGTCACCTTTTTATTAATAATCAGCTTTGTAGTATTCACATTTTATATTACACATCCAGCTAACATTCTTAACTATACTTCATTTTGAAAAATTATGGAAAATGTCTATCTGAGATTTTTTTTTAATGGAAAAATGGTTGTTTGGTTTAAAAAAAAAAGCCCCCCACTATTCTCCAACCTCAGAAAAGGTAATCCGTAAGAACAGGCATACTGGGTCATACCAAAGGTCCATCTTGCCCAGTATCCTATCATCTGACAGTGGCCAATGCCAGATGCCCCAGAGGAAGCGAACAGAACAGGAAATCATCAAGTGATACCTCTCCTGTCATCAATCAAGTTGAGGTGTAAGTAAATACTGGAACTGGCCCGAGAGTTTGCAGGTTATTAATTCCTGAAGTTTTAGCTTCTTAAACTAGAGACAATTTTTTTATTATAACCCAGGAATTACTAGATCAAAAAACAAGAGAGAGAAGGAAATTGTTGTTATGCACCCTGATTTCATAAACTCAAAAAAGGGAGATATCCAATGATAATGATGCAATTACTTTGATTTGAATTATGGACAGTAATGCAGGAAGTTTTTAGTGGGAATGGTCATTGCAGTAAGTAGAATGAAGTTTCTAGTATTTAAGAGAACAAAAATGTCTTGTTCTTAAATTATGTTTATTCATTTGTGACTTTGTTCAGAAATCTTGAAAATAATTACATTTCACTTAACCCAATGGGAGAAAAGAAAACTGAAACTAGCCTCAGTTGTTATACTGTGCAAAGAGAATAAGAAATTAAGTATGGGTTAATTTAGTTTAAGTGGGAGTATTGTTTCTAGTGTAAAAGCAGTAGAAATGAAAAATGCTCGAAAGTCTGAAAGATGTTGCATGTTGCTGATGATATCTGATAACTAATATATTTCTTTGAATTCACAAACTGAGAAGTATGGAAAGCTGTTGAAGATTTTAAAAGGGCATCTGATTCCATTTAGAGAGAATTTCAGGAGTTCACAGATATGTAGAGTAATTGGAGATTTTTGGTAGCAATGTAATTTCTCTGAGGGAACCAAAGTACTGTGTGAGATATGTCACTGAAACATCTGAATGGTTCCATGTGGAGATACAAATTTAACAGTCATCTATATGCAGTTGTGTAGTGCCAGAAATGGACCATGAGCTCATGTCTTGAACTGTGTATCATTTTTGTCATCTGTTTTTAATATTTTTTTTTTTTTAAATATCTTGTCTTGAAGACAGAAGTTCTTGTGGAAGAACACCATACCCAGTCTAGCAGAGGGAGTAAGATTAGAGGAAAATGTCCTATGATCCTTCCAAAGGCGATTAAACCCCCTTAATTTTCTATATTTTTTATGTCTTGCAAATTTAATTTTAAACAGACCCTAGAACAAAAATAACCAAGAAACTTTCATTCACACCTTGGGGATCAGGGAGAAAGGATTCTGAATAATTATTTTCCTGTTAGGAGTTCCTTTTTATCATTTTATATAGTGCACGATATCTCATGACATTTATTTAAAAAATGTGTTGTACAGATTAGTACCATTTGCATTGGACAAAGAAACCCACTTGAAGAATGTAAGAACATCATGCGGGGGGTGGGGAGGGGAGGAGAGGATACAGCCCTGCATGGTGTGCAACTCCTGTATGGAAGCTTGCAAAACACTTGTACACAGACGAGCATGACCAGGGACGGCTGCCAATGAGCCTCATGCCCATCCCAGTGGGTACTTCAGTATATGCTTAAAAATCCGGGATCTTTAGGGTTACCAGGTAGCTTCAGAAAAAATACTGGACACACTTGATCGGGGGAACGGGGCCGGCCGGGGGAGATTGGGAGGGGGGAACTAGCTGGCAGGAAGCAGGGCTGGCTGGGGGGGAACGGGCAGTGGGGGGCGCGGGGGGGCGG